ACTAATATTTATGTTATACTCACACGTTAGCCCAGTAATGTATCCAACATTCAAAACAAGCTAGCTAATTTTCACTCAAGTCAGAATAGTTGTGACTATTCATATTACGCAACAAAAATGCCATTTTAAAATCAAAGTAAAAGTACCTGTAACAATATCTATAGCCTCTTTGTAGGAATTATGAAATCTAATGTCTTTACTTTTTATTCACATATATGAGAGGTATTATATATTGGTTATTATAGATACTACATTTAGATTATAAGAACATACAAGAATAGGATTTTAGTATTTCTTGTGACAGAGGAGGTACAGACATGATCCCTAACCTTCAAATTGTAATTGCAAATGGTTACTAAATATGGCAGTTGCTAAATGAGGACTACTGTATCTGTATTCACTACAACCTGAAGGGAGATTTTCTTGAAATAAGAAATTATGCTTTTCTTTTCTTCCATATTCATTCAAGGGATTTATATCACAACTTTTTTTTCTGTAGGATAAGACATATTATGATAGGTCTTGGTGACGGGCAAGATATTTTTAATTTTATTTACTTATTCAGAAAAATTATGTGACTTCCTATCTTAAATAAATTACCCTTGGTGACTTTTTACCCAAGAATGTAATCTACATATGTATCTCCACAAAAGAAAAGAAAGAAAGAAAAAAGATCTCATACAAGTTCTCTTTCAACCCAGCAACATAATTCTATAATCAGCCTTCCCTGATCTTGGGATTCTCTACATCAGGGCTTTTCAACCAGTGGTACAGGTACCACCTGTGGTACATTGGCACCTGGCAGGTGGTACGCGACCATCCTAGAAAAGTGGTAGCGGGGGAGGGAAATGAGCTGAACCGGTGGCAGCACCGCACAAGCCTGAGCGAGAGATGGCTGGAGCTGCAGGGCTGTCAGGGCTCAGCGGAAGTGCCACGATCAGTGCCGTTTCCAGCTGATCGGCGCTTCTTCAGGGCTGTCAGGGCTCAGTGGAAGCGCCAGGATCAGCGCCAGGCTCCAGCTGGAGCTCGGCACTGATCCTGGTGCTTCTGCTGAGCCCTGAAGAAGCACCAATCAGCTGGAAAGCAGCACTGATCCTGGCGCTTCTGCTGAGCCCAGAAGAAGCGCCGATCAGCTGGAATGTTGCAGCATCTCCAGGGTCTTGTGATTTACATTCAGATGCTTGGCAACTGATTCATATTTATGACNAGAAATGCTCACAACAATGAAAACCTCGAACAGGAGGAAGAACGCCACCGGATGGGCAGGCAGGTGTCTTGCTCGGCTGTGGCTTGGGGGGCACTTTTTTCAGTGTCACTAAGCGAACTGTTGTAAGTCGAGGACTACCTGTACTTTATCACTTTTTTCCTTTTTTGGGGGGGGTGTGTCAAGTTTTTGACACCTTGCTAGGCGACTGGTGGTACTCGGATGTTGCCATATCCTAAAAGTGGAACAATGGGTGAAAAGGTTGAAAAGCCCTGCTCTACATTATGGACTTCAAAACCAAGATTTTTTAGCAGTGGTTTATTGCTTGGAATTCTCAAAGATGAAGACTAAAATATAAGAAATCTGGTTTAGTTTTTGCCTTCAAACTTTAGTTTTTAAAATTAATCATATTAAAAGATGAGTTAAAAATAACATAGTCCTATTCAGCATGTTGGCTTGGGAATAATTGTCTGAGTAAGCCAGGATCCAGCCTGGCCAGTTACATTTACATCAAACAGCATTCCTTTTAACTGCTAAGATTTTCAACAGAGCCTATTATGAACCAACACATTTTTTTCTCCCCCAATGAAATTTATGGCGCAGCACAAAGCAGTAAATAGGGAAGTTCAAAATGCTGCAATTATTCCTGTTTTTACTATTTTGAATGAATATAGAATATTGATCCAATTGATTACTCTAGGTTCTGAATCAAACTTCAAATGGATGACATGTGGAGCCTTAGGAAGTTGTCCTGGCACTATTTCAATTTTGGTTTTGTGCTATCTATGTATTAGGCAGAATCATGAAAAAGACAGAGGGTGACTGAATAAATGATAGGGAAAGTAACTGAAAGTGGCGCAGCTGGATAAAAAATAAGTTTGATATTCCCTTGTTTATTAATGTAAGTGCTAGGAAATACATCGATTGTAAGAATTAAATACTGGTATATTATTTCGTGTGCCTCCTCCAGGATTTTTACCTGAAATTTCAAATAAACTGTGGGCACAATTTAATTTGTAACAGGCAAACATCTGCATGAGATTTTAATGTCTGCACACAAAAGTGCATCCAAGAAGGATGAGGAGTCCCTGAGATCCATGAGAAATGCCAACCTGGGAAAACATCACTTTGGCTAGCTCTTTTCTCCTCAATAAGTTTCTTATGCTCTGGAATGATATAGCTACACTATGAAGGTTTGAATGACGTGGATGGAAAAGGAAAAATAGAAATGTAGTGGAATGAACAGCCAGTTCTGTTTCCACAAGGACCAGTCCAATGCTTCTAGGAAGCCCACAAGTGATTCTAGAAGGCAACTACAGACCCATATGGAAAGCTTCCAATTACAGTAATGAAGTGACAACTCCATCTCTAACTTCAAGGTTCAAATTAATCATAGTCATCCTTTGTATAATTCTTGATCAATTGTAGCTAAAATAAAATTGCACAGGGATATAAAAATCCCAAAGGTTTTCCCAAAAAGTAAAAGTAGAAGGAGAGAAACCTAATCTTACCAATTAATACTGAAGATGCTCTAACTGTTGATGGGGGCAAACACTAATTGGAATATATTGAAAAAAAATTACAGCTGACTGCTGTCATAAACAGGTGCACTGCATACACTGTCACCTATTAAATATAAGCTCTGGGCAATTATTCTACCTAATTACAAAATGGAGTCTGTCTTTTGATCAATAGGAGGATTTTATATTTTTATATCCACATGCTATATCAATGTCCCCCAAAAGCATAAATTGTTGTTTTTGTAGTTGAAAGCAACCCAATAGTTTAGCAGCATCCCTTCAGCACTGTAAATAATTTAAGATATAACATGAAATCTACATTACATACAAGAGAGCCAGTTGTTAAAGCACCATGCTAGAAATGAGGAGACCTATCAATTTTAGTTCTGCCTTAGGCACAAACTCAGGTGGGTTACCCTCTCTCAGACCTACAAAGAAAGCATTGGCGTGAGTTACCTGGAGCTGGTCCCTCTTTCAGTCCTACAAAGAAAGCAATGAGGAACCACTTGTAAAACCTCACTAATAAAACTGCAGTCATCAGGATTTAATTTGATGCCTTGAAGGGAGCAAAAACAACCGAAAAGCCTACTACATATTAATTCACTCAATCAGTGTCAAAAGAAAACAACTGTACAATTGGGGCATCTTAATAGCCAATTACACCTGCTAAATGTAGTTATTATAAAGACTCATCGGTTCAGATAACCTCAGTGCTCGTTCTTTTGTGATATGATTTATCATGGAAAAATGTTTTAAAATGATTCTATGGAAGGAAATGAGCATTTGCTGAGATAATTTATTTATTTATTTATTTAATTTATATCCCGCCCTTCTCCTTGCGGACTCAGCGCGGCTAACAACCAGATAAAAATGCTAATCCCAAAAAACTACAGATTAAAAACATAATTAAAAACAAATATTAATGATTGGTCTACTTAGTTTAAAATTACTTTAAAACCCCCATTAAAAATTTTCCCCTAGGACAGTCCTGCAAGCTGGAATAACCATGTCTTAAGGGCGCGGCGGAAGGAAGGGAGATCAGGGATCACCCTGATCTCTGGGGGTAGTTCATTCCAGAGGGTGGGAGCTCCCAGAGAAGGCCCTCCCCCTTGGGGTCGCCAGCCGGCACTGTCTGGCCGACGGCACCCTGAGGAGACCCACCCTGTGGGAGCGTACAGGCCGATGGGAGGTAATCTGCGGCAGAAGGCGGTCTCGAAGATATCCCGGTCCGATGCCATGGAGCGCCTTAAAGATGATGGTCAGCACCTTGAAGCGCACCCGGAAGGCCACCGGCAGCCAATGCAGCTCGCGCAGCAGCGGTGTTACATGGGAGCGACGAGTCCCTCCCAACACTGCCCGCGCGGCCGCATTTTGGACTAGCTGGAGCCTCCGGGTGCTCCTCAAGGGAAGCCCCATGTAGAGAGCGTTGCAGTAGTCCAGGCGGGAGGTGACCAGGGCATGAGTGACTGTGCGTAAGGCGTCCCGGTCCAGAAAAGGTCGCAACTGGTGGATCAGGCGTACCTGATAAAACGCCCCCCTGGTCACGGTCGCCAACTGGTCATCCAGTGTCAGCCGTGGATCCAGGAGGACACCCAAATTGCGTACCCTATCTGATAATTCTTTGATAAGAGTGATTCCTTTGGGAATTTAACTCATGTCTATGTGAGAAAGAACATTGCTAATTGTGTTGCCGTTTAGAAGGATGAGAAACTGAGATATTCAAGAACATGCAAGATTAAAGTGCACAAAAGCCAGTATGAACTTTCAATAAATCTGACTTCCAATGTGTGTTAACAGGAACAAGAGTATAACACGTTCAGAAATTCTTAAAGACATGTTATAAAATTGAAAATACAGCAAACTAGAGGGAGAAGAGTGAAGGAAAAGTAACTTGCCTATTACTCTCAGTACTGTGTGGAACAAATTTGGCTTTCCACAGTGAAGTTCACACAAATGTGTCCCATGGAAAGAAATCTGTCATGCTTTTCTGAGAGATTACTCCCCCCCCCGCCCCCCTATCCTGTAAATACCTTGTGATTTTGAGAAGCACATTTTAGCCACAGGTACTTACTTCTAAGCCATTTCACAAGCTACATATACAAATGTACAAGCCATACAAGCTTTACCTTCCAGCACTGATGTTGATCATGGAAACATGTTCATGCTTTGCCCTTCTCTTGTGAACGGTAGTTATTTTTCTGAGCTGGAAAAGTACAAGAGCCAAACAGTGTAAGGCAGATGAAGTGCATTAGCATTTTGACAGTTTCCTCACTTACCTACAGTAGAAACCACGGTGCCTACAAAATAAAAGGCTCCCATCAAGTCCCATTGGGGCCGCGTTATGTTTACCCGGATACCGATCCGGTAGGCGGCCTCGTACTCAAACAGAAAATCCCTCAGATCCGCCAAAGCCAGGTTGTACTTCTGGGAGAAGTTTTCAATCTTCATCTGCCACTTCTGAAGGGCTTCCAGCTCCGAGGGCCGCTCTATAAGGGAGAAGATGGCAGCTCCGCAACCCATGTAGAGAAGGATCAGAACGGCCAGGAGCAGGAACCGGGCGGTGTCTTCGGTGAGGGTGCCAAAGCTGGGCGAAGAACAGCAGCAGAGACCGCGACAAGCCATCCCTCTCTGCCCGCCAGGCGCCCGAGCTTTATCGAGCTCCCCTCAACGGCTCCTTCTCCTCGCGCCCCCTCGAGGCAGGGTTCCGCAGCTCCCGAAGGGGCGTGCGGTGCGCCCTGTGAAGTAGCCTCCGGGCTCGGAAGCGGGCAAGAGGGCAAGGCGCGGACCGCAATGCTGCACCCCTCCGGCCCAGTCCCGCAGAAGATAGTCAGTCCGTCCCCGCAGTACATCCCTTAGGATCGCGCCCAGCAGCTTCCCTCCGAGCCGTCCACCTGTGGACGAAACTCGTGCTCCTCGAGGTTTTCCGAGGACGCACGTGGCAGGCTGGGTTGCAATCAATTCCGCCAGTCAGAGCTCACAATTGCCGGGCGCCAGGTCAGGATTTCAGCCTCCCCGAACGCCAAGCGGTTAAAAACACCCCTTTCCCACGTGCAGTGCGACGGACGACTCCTCGCCGGGAAATCAATCCGGTCCGCAAGTGGCCGTTTTTCCTCCGGATTCTTCGGGCAACCCACGGGAAAACTGAGACTGGGCAGGGCGTTCAAACGCTCCTGATTCCTTCCCAAACCTGTCGAAGAGAGTCAAAGCGCGGGTCCTTTGCTTCCTGTAGCGGGCCTCCGCCTCTACAAGCTGTTTCAAGGAAGCACGTGAGAGGCTTGCGGCGAGCATGGCTGCGGCGCTTGGCGGGAGAAAGAATTTCGGAAGTCCGCATTCGAATTTACTGGAATATTGTGGTTTGATGGGGCTGTCGTTCCGGGGAAACTGGGCGAGAGAATCTGGAAGTGGCGCTGCCTAAGGCATGTCGGGCTACGAGCACATGAAACGAATCCCCAAGGTCCCGTTTTGACGCCCGCGCTGTCAAATAGGTAACCGTTATTGTTCAGAAACGAACAGCCCTGTTTGTGGAGAGTATCTCTGCAGAGGTGGTAGGCATGCTTTATCTTTATCTTTTTTTATTTTACCTTTTATCTTTGCAAGGAACCAAAGTCAAAAGAGGGAGCGTGACAGATGTGTTCTCCTTGCTTTTAGTCTCGAATTTTACCGAATTTAGAATGGATTGATCTGCAAGAAACAGTGATTTATCATTTTATTTCCAGTTTCGTTGAAAAAAAAAAACCGAACAAGAGCAGCTGCCTTCTTGTTTCTTGTTCCACAGTAGTTCTGGTTGCCTTTTGGAAACTGGCTGACTTTCTCTGGTTGTTCCCACTATATAATTTCTAGCTCACCAATTTCTTTTGGGCCTGAATGTGTCAGAATCAAGCCCGGCAAGCCTTTGACAGAGAGGATTGACTTCAATAGTAGATTAATGGATCCTGATGTCAGTCTTCTTCAAGGTAGACCACACTAGGAAACCAAAGTCACGCATGCTAATACTTTTATTATAAGGTTGTATAATAACAGAACCTTGCAATGAATGCACTTCCCCCTCTCTCCCTTTGTCTTCATGAGAACTGGAGAGGTGTTGTCTGAGATCCTTACTCAGGATATAATTCTGGCCTGGACTCATTTATCTGACTTGCCTTGGTTGCAGCTCTTCCTCCTGTTTCTCAAATCATTCTTTCTGTCCATTACACCTGGCAACTGGGATTTAGAATATGTGTGCATAATGTATGCATAGTGCTTTATGCGAGGCATGTCAAACACGCGACCCGCAGACCGGATGCAGCCTGCACACGCTATGCCCACCCCAACCCCGCAAAGGCAAAAAAAAATCACAATACGTCATGACACCCCTAATAATAATAATAATAATAATAATAATAATAATGATAAAGTTGGAAGGGACCTTGGAGGTCATCTAGTCCAACCCCCTGCTCAGGCAGGAAATCCTATACCATTTCGGACAAATGGCTGTCCAGTTTCTTCTTAAAAACTTCCAGTGTTGGTGCATTCAGTGCTTCTGGAGGCAGGTTGTTCCACTGGTTAATTGTTCTAACTGTCAGGAAGTTTCTCCTTAGTTCTAGGTTGCTTCTCTCTTTGGTTAGCTTCCACCCGTTGCTCCTTGTCCTGCCTTCAGGCGCTTTGGAAAATAGCTTGACTCCCTCTTCTTTGTGGCAGCCAAATTCTTTTTGATTTTGATGACTGAAGAACAGAGATGAAAACAATCTCACTTCCATTCCTTTGCCATGTAACTGGAGCACATTAGACTAAAAAGGGAGGAGTGCTATTTACCCAGAAGCATCTGAATAGCTAGTTTGGGTCTTCTATTTCTGACCTTGGGTGATTCTAATTCCTTTCTTTTGCTCAACTTTGGGCATTATGAGAGAAATAACTCACAAAATATCCAAACTCCCATTCTTGATTATTTGATCACCATCTCTTGAAAAGTTGCCATCTCATCGTGTCCTCTTCCTCTGGGGAAATATCAGGATTGTCTTCAAATAGTTATTCATGGCTATTACTAAATCAAAAAGAATGGGAGTAGGAGGCTGTGACAATTGTTCCTTCTGCCTTCTTCATTGCTATCTCTGTCCTTGATGCAGACACTAATGTCTCTGTGACTATTCATAATGAAAATTCAGATGAACAAGAGACTAAGAGCCTGAATGTTTGATGACTTCTGGCTTAGATTGCTGTGATTAGGGATTCAGACCCTATTCTCACCAACTCAGCTCCTAAAGACTGAAGCCCTACCCATTTTTACATAACACAATGATCTATACATTTAATGTTCAACTTTCACCAGTATCAAACAGCTCAAACATCAGTTATTACATATAAAAACAGGAAAAGCAGAAACAAAAAAAATAATATACATATATAAAGTACATTTATAATATTATAATCCCTAACTCATGTACAGTTTGTTATTTGCTACTTGAATGGTTTTTCCTATAATGACTTTTCCCAAAACATATTTATTGAAATATAATGGGAACATTTTATGTTTTTCTCTCTCAGAGTACATCAAAGCATTTGTAAGCTCCATACTCTCTTATTCTAAATGATTTGTTTTAACTGCTTTAGTAAACACATTAAGCTTGAATGTTTTCACATTCAGGTTGTTATGGAAACATTTTTTTTTAAAAAGCCACCTGTGGTACCTGATGATTCACTGAATCTCCAAAATTTGATCAATATTTACCATAAAGTTCAATGATATAAAAGCAACAGTATGCCATTCGGCACCTTAAAAAAAATACAGTACTGCTTTTTTTCTCAAAGCACTAATATAGCTGAACATCTTGAATCAATTGTGTAATGTACTCATGAGTAATCCCAGTGATTTGAATGTTTCTTGCTCCATTATTGGCCTTTCTCCCTTATTCACAAACATATGAATATTAAAATATACCAAGTTAGAAACAGATCATCATGGAGAAAATCTGTGTGTTTGCTTAAAGTTGACACCAACTTTATGGACATGATCAAATACTAATCAATCTTATTCAGGTATTCTGACTTTGTAACAAAACATTCAAGGTTTTTTATTCTGCAATGTTATGTATATACATACTGTGATACAAAGCATCAACTAATCCTTGTTTTTTTATTTTCCATAGGGAGTACAAAATGGGTAAGTGCTAGTCCCCCACGCTATGTGCTATCTATCATCTGATAGACAATATTTATCACATATTATATTTAAAAATAAATAAAATGCCCCTAGTGTGCATGTGGGAAAAACTGCTTGATTTTTTTCTATATGTTTTGATGATTTAAAAAAAGAACATGCATTTTGAACTTGGGAAATGTATAGCCAAGAAATCAAGCAAATTTCACTCAGGTCTTATCACTTTGCTTTCTTTTTTTCCAACTTTTTATACAAAACTGTAAATACTGTCATTGCAGGAAAAAGTTGTTTTCACAAATTACCAGCAATTGTATGACACACCCTTTATACATCATACATTATACAACATAAACCTACTTGAAGGCTTTACTATTTTCTTGATATAGCAAATGTGCATGTCACTATTTTCATTTTATACTCAATTAACTACAGTATAACCAGAATGTAGAAGACACAGTGATGTCTGTGGAGATTCTCAGTCATCCAGATCATGATTGTCGCAAAGGTGATTTTCCAAAAGGCAACTGGACTTTTTTTGGGTTGTTTTTTTTAAAAAACATTTTGCTTCTGAGCCAAGAAGCTTCTTCACTTCTGAGGAACTGAAGAAGCTTCTTGGATGAGAAACAAAATATTTAAAAAAAAAATAAATAAACCAAGAAAGTCCAGTTGCCTTTTGGAAAGCACCTTTGGAACAAGGCACAATGATATTTTCATTTCTAACAGCAAATTAGTTGCATCTTCTTAAAATTAGTTTGTTGCCCCACATATGTAGCTTCAAAAATATTTCTTAATATGCAAGCCCTTTTGATTATGCCTTTATTTGCCTGCAGATAGAGGATGTCTTATTCGTGCTCTACAACCCATCATAGTTAAATATGTCTGATACAATTCATTAAAGCTTCAACACTAAACATGCATGTTTGGAATCAATCATTGTAAGTAACCAGGAGTTAGAATTGGGCTGAAAACACACTTATATTTTCCAATGATAAAGTTTAAGTTCTTTAAGAAATGCAGCCCTTGAATGGAAACCAACAATTCAGTTTTATAAGCAATAAAAAAGTAAAATGAAAGTATTAGTTTTATATCTGTATAACGAATGACATTCTTATCAATTGTAGAATGAACTGGAATCCCCATCAGCCCTGGGGTTCCCAGGAAAATCCTGGTTATTATGGCAGGATAACATCATCATCTCTGCTCATGATAGTTTTAATTATGATTTTATATATTTACTGTTTTTTTAAATTCTCTGTTGTATACTGCCCAATATACTCATGTTTTTGGCTCACAATAAATGTATTATATAAATAAATATTGATTTTTTGAGAATCTATAGGAATATCTAAAGGAATATGAAATATACATGATTTCAAAAATCTTTCAGTGAAGCAAGTTTTTGTTTTCTAATTAAAATGTTTGATATGTCATTGCAACAGCACCAAATTATGTTTTATACTATATGCTTATAACAATGTACAGTCTTGGA